ATCACAATAGAGACCGAGGGAACCACATGCAGTCGTGAGAAATAATCTCACCTTTAAAGCCTAATTCTGATCCTACAGAGGCAATGTGAGTGTTTCCCTTGGTGTCAATTGCTTTGTGTCTGACTGCTGGGGGTTCTGCATGTTCAGAGTAGAAAGCCTGTGAAATAAACTATTAAGGACTGCTCTCTGGGATTTAAACCCTTTTCATATAAAAGACCCCACGAACTTGTCACAGAGGATGTAAAAATACAACAGACACTGTTTTGCATGTCCAAACACCCCCCCAAAAAATAAATCCAACAACAACAATGTGTGAGGTCTCTCGACTGAGTTTCTGACAGCTTTTAAGTAATCCAGAGCTGCACTGAATTCAAGGAAGAACTAAAAAAAGTGCCATTTAATTTTAAAGTCCATTAAAAAGCAATGCTTTCCACACGTGAAAGGGCCTACACCTGGAGGAAGATCCTCTCTCTTTCTTGTTTTGGTGGATGATGCAAACTGGTGAAGAAAGGTAAATGGTAGCTGGGGATTAGAAGCAGCCCTGTCCTGAGAGCGACACCCATGATTATGGAGCAGTTTCCCAAGGGAAGTGATGAAAGCCTCATCATTTGATTCAATTAAAACTGGACTGGAAAAAGCATCAGAGAATATATTCTGAGAACAACACTGCACTGGCTGGTAAATCAGACAGCTTGACAGTCCATGTCTCTGTACTTCTCATCTCTGTTGTCATATCTTTAATTGAGTTAAAATAAAGCGTACACAAAATGTATTTTAAAACATTTACCTAATGCCAATGGTGCATGAATTCATTCAGTGCTTATACTTGTTCCATAGGGGTTATATATTGATGCTTCATTTCAGTGACAAAAGCAATTCTCTGGGCTCCCATTATCCACAACCATTTTCTTAATTAAATGCAGTTATTCTGAGGTTAAATTTTAAAATACCTCGTTTCATGCTTAAAAAAGCCCTCAACAAGTTATCACAAAAATGCATCTCTGTGCAAAATACCGAACATGTGATTCTCCTGAGAGTGAAGGTGGCACAAAAATCACACGTGGTTGCTTGAAATTAAGTCTCTGCACAGCTGCTTTATACTCTGCTTTTAATTATTGTAACAGCACCCACCAGCACACTGCAATTGAAGGTCTGTCATTATTTCTATTCTAAACATCCCTTTTCACAGGTTTAATTAACCAGCCATCAAATTTAGCTCTGTCGTAGGTAGAAACGGCTGGCAAAGTCTTGGCCTGGAGAGTTTTTCAGTAAATTCAGTTTGAACTGATTTGGTTGTTTTCAAATTTATGAAGGGCAGGGTAATGGGGTGAAACTTCCAACTATATTTCTTGATTTTGGTGAGTTAAAAACACACTTCTGATGTTTCTCAATGACAGCTTTTGATTTTAAAACAGCGTATTTTTCAGCCTGGCTATGCTTCACATACATTTATGACATTTGTCGCAGTTTGGTTATGGTTCAGGCCAGCAATAGTTCAGGGCAAAAATGGTAGAGCTTCTCATCTCAGTTCATCACTTGTTAGGTTTTTTTACAGTTAATAGAATTTCATCAGAAATAGCAATACTTTGGGGACAGTATTAATTACGTCAGGCTAATGGTTATATTGGGACAGCAAACCTCCCTTGAGCAGCCAATGCAGAATCTGAATTCTCAGGTGATTCAGGGCTTTGGCACTCTGGAAAGGGACTTAGGGGTGTCCTAAAAACCACTGCTTAGAGAGGAACCTCTCAGAGACCGGCACAGGGCGCAGCTCTGAGGAAAGCAAAATACTTGCTGGCCAGAAAGGAAGTGTGAGAGCAGAGGATGGATACGGAGATGGGACTGTCCTGATACATGAACTGTCCTGATACAACCAGTTACCTGGGATGCTGGAGAAGTGAAGCCCTTCACTTACTCAGCTGTCCTCAGGGAAATGCTACTACTTTGTGATAAACATCATACATGGAATCAGATGCTCTTATTTCATTTCTCACCTCTGTGAATTCGTCCATGTTTACTTTTTTTCCCAATGTGTCTATGACTTCCAGCTTCTTGTCATAGACGGCTAGCAAAAAACACAGAGATACTGGTTTAGAAAGCAAACAGTTGTGGTTTTGCATATTGTACAATTTTTCTTCACACTGTATGTTACATTAACTTTCTTCTTATGTTGGATTACATTTATTTGAGATTATCCTACTCAATAGCTGAAGCATCTGACTGTATAGAGGCTATCTACATCTGATTCTTACATATTTCTCCTGCTGAGAATCTGCTCTTACCTCTTCATAACTGTATGGTCATATTTATTCTTGACATGAGTTGGTGCAAATTGCAATAATTTTAATGGTACTTACAACTAATTACATGAGGGAAGAAATTATTTTTGATTTAACAAACAGATAAAACTGCCTTAAAATTCTGGAGACATGGATTCTGCTTTGCAAGAGTGGAACCTGAAAATCATAGCCCTGTGGGAATATTTGTAGTGATTATGATATTCAGAACTATTTTTGGTCAACTTCTGGGCTGCTATCATGAAACTGAGAAGATATGTCAAGTGTCTACATAGATTTTTGCATGAGGTCTTTGAGCACAGACGTGCTATTTTTCTGTTTTTCTTCTACAATATATCAGGAGTAATAAGAAAATTCACCATAAAATGCATTTCTCTCTTGTAGCTTAAGACATTCCTAAACTGTACGTTATCTTTATTAAACTATAAAACAAAGCTTAATGTTCTGTTAATGTTTATTGGATGCTATTAAATGAAATACATTAAGAAATGGAGCTCCACTATTAGTGAAATGGGACATAAAGCACCTCCAGCATCTGTAGAGCAAGCATCTGGACAGAAGGTTGCTTCTGAGTTTCACATCCCCAGTATCTGTTCACACTGAGCACCACAGCTACCACAGCAGCAGCACAAGGGCTGTGTTCGGCATTCGCACAACGTACGACTAATATGGGATGATTACTCAGAGGAGTAATTCTGTAATATAGAAAGGGCTGAGCAAGGGCAAGCTCTAGAGTGAGGTGACTCCAGCAGCGATGCACTCTGGAGGTTCCCTGCTACCATCCCATCGTCCAGCAAAGGCAGATTTGTTATTATTGATGATCATTACAGGCTATCGATGTATACGGCTGGGAGCAGGCTGTGTGTTGCCACATTCCTGGCTCTATCTATTAAATTATCATTATTTGGGGAGGTCAAGTGTATGCAATGTAAAGTGGACAGGAATTATGGAAATCCTTTCTATGCTGAGTGCTTGGATACAGAGGTCCTTATGCTGTGTGTGACTGGCATGCCTGGGAGCAGCAAAGGGAATGGCTAGACAAAATGTGCAATTTGATGGAGCATTAGGTAAGCTTCAGTGTTTTCTCTGCAACCATAAAAGGTAACAACACTCTCAGACTTTAATTATTTTCAATCCTATTTTTCCTCCACACCACCCCTGTCCGTGGCATTTCCAAGACTTCCCATGAGACAGGGAATAGCATTTGATAGGGCAGGTGAAGGAGGAGGTTGTTTCAGTGATTCATAAAAACAGTGATAAGCACATGGCAATGTCTGGCCAATGCAGGACATAAGTAGAAAGGGCGGTGTCTGATCTTTCCACCTCTCTGAAAGATTTTTTAAACTTCTTTCCATGCTTTTCATGATTATATTAATGAACCACACAGCAGTTCAGTCTCTTTCCAATCTGTCTGAAGCTTCATGGTTAAAATCCTAGCTGGTGTGACTACCCTTAGTGATTCTTTCTCTATTATCAAATCCATTCACAGTTTTCATCAGAATTCAGACCACAGAAATAAAACTAAAGGAGACACATCCAAAACTTACGTTTTTTCACATCTGTGGGAGTAGAAGCAATGACATCCAGAAAAGACCTCAGGGCACTCTGAACCTACAGATCAAGGTAATAGTCACAGGCCTGTTTCATGCAGACAACAGTAGGCAATTACTAAAATAAATCACCCAGAACAATCAGTTGTGCAGGGCAGCCATGCTTCCTACCAAACATAGGTGAGCCCTGTTCAATGTAGGCCTTGTCTAAGTTGTGCTGTGTGTAACCACAGGACAATTTCCTAGGGGCTTTGTGGGACTTGTAAGAAAGTTTTTACCAAAAGATGTATTACAATTACTGCAAATCTCATCTTTTATGAGCTTCACAGTCAATTTGTACAAGTCACAGGGATAGAAAGAAGATTTAATGGAGGCTAGAGGAGAGCAAGAGTGACTGCCCCAGGCCTTTTAAAAGGGATTCTGAGGGATAACCAGCTGCACAGAAGGACATCCAGTGATGAGGTATCCATCAACCTCAGGGCTGTCCGAGTACCTTACGGGGCATTTAACTTCCCAGCACCTCTGTGGAGAACACACCAAAATCCTTCCACGTGCTGGTGGGGAATCAGGGCTTGGTGAGGCTGTGGTAGACAGCGACCTGCACCCTGACCCTAAGGGATGTCAGAGCCATTACCCATCCTTGTGCTCCACACTGCCGTGCCAGGGCAGACGGCACTATCACAAACTTCCTTTTCCTCCTGTCTGGAACAACCACAGCAGTGTGTTAACAAGAATCATCCCTAGTTACCAGTGCAACCGGTATTCTTCCACTGACATCCACTGTCCACTCCTTGAACTGAACTGCCAGCTCCTCCTTTCTTATCTCTTTCACCTGAGACTTCACTTTTTCCACCCGCTCTCTTTCCTCACGTTTGTTCTTTGCCTCAGACTTCATCGTGGCCAGCCTGTAGGATGTGGGAATATGCTTTAGAAAGATACTGTCCTAAACATGTTTTAGTTAGATTAAGCCTACCCTGAAGAACAAAAGGAAAGGAAATAACTTCTTACTGAAATTCTTGTCTTTTTAGCACAAGCAGTTTTTTCTGCAAAGACATACTTGATGTTTGGGGCACAAAATGACAAGTGGAGGCAAGAGTATTTAAATTCCAACATGTATCATCTCCTGAAATCTAGTGTAACTATGAATCTGAAGAAATAACCTGAGTGTCAGATACGTGTAGAGTATATGGTAGACATTTATGGGAAAATAATCTGTAAAGCTCCCCTAGTTCGTGTAGTTTCAACAGTGATAAATGTTGCCTTCACGTTTATAATGGCATTAATCATCTATTGTGTAGATGCCCTTCAATTTTTGCAGGAACAGAGGTGGCTAATTTTGCTACACTTGATTTACCAACAAAATCGCATCAGTATGCGTTTGTCTCAGAGCCCGAGTACCATTTCACATGAGCACTTCACTGGCAAAGAACAACGTTCAGTGAAATTTCTTAGGCAGTCTCGCACAGTAAACTCATTACTGCATTAGAACAGGGATAATACACCAACCTCGCCGTCATTTTGAACACACAGAGCCTGCAAGCTTGGACTAAAAGTACCTCCCTTTCTTCTTCCTTCCGTTTTCTTCGCTTCTCTAATCACCCAACTCTGGTTTTACCAATCCTCCATTTCACACAACAAAAGAACTGCAGAAAATTGATCCCATGGGACTGATCTGTTTTGGTTTTGACTTTGTTTGATTATGAAGTGGGAAAAAAAGCCTTTAGGAAGTTCAAAAAGCTTAAAGCCAAAGGCTCAGTTCATATGGGGAGAACAGTTACCACTCACGGAGGCTGCTGGACTCTCTCTGCACTGAGACAGCCGCCCTGCACACCTCTGTGGCTCTCATGTACCCCAGTTTTGGCAAGTGAGAGTAAGGGGAAATGCTCCTCTTTTGTACCTGAGAACACACTACTCAAGAAACTCTATTTTAACTAACGACTTCTGTTCCCTTCCTCCTGCTGTGTTTCACAAGATGAGCTGATCCTGGCCCTGCTCTTTTCTCTTGCTATGGGGGAAGCCTAGAAATTGTAAACCAATGATATTTTCATTAATTAATAGAAAGATCTGTTTAACATGTGACAGCAATACACTTTGATCACAGTTTTATCACTAGGTACTTGTTCTTCATGGCCATTTATCACAGAGGTTTCTTAATGAATAATTGGTTCCTTCAGCAGTTGGGAGCATTGCATGTGTGAGGCTGTTCAGCCTTGGGCACTTTGACAGCAGTGAAAAGGTAAAATAACTCCCTGATTCCTTCAGACACAGTAAAGAGAAGCTATGGAGCAGGTACCAAACGGACTGATTTTACTCCAATGTTCGCCACAGACAGAAAGGAAAACCCAGACCATTTCTAGCTGCAGCTCCTCCTCAGGAGTGGGCTTCAAGCTGAAAGCAGAGCTAAGGCCGTGCTAGGAGCTGCCCAGGTGCCCTGGTGATTAATTCAGGCAGTGCCCAGCAGAGGTTACATTGTAGGCTGCTCCTGTACTGTGCTGCAGTTTGGCGTTTATTTCTAGGGCCCTAAAACACCACCAGGCTGTAACGCTGCTGGGCACCCATTTCGAAGTGAGCTCATTTCAGTATTAGACATTTCCAGAAAAGATGAGATGGCAGCGAGGGTGACTTCTCCCTGCAGAATAAAACATGTTTCTTCAGGAAGCCAGCCGCCTACCTCCCACACAAGGATGGCTGACTCAGCCTGAAGGATACCAGCCCTGGACAAATACAGGCTCTGTTGCAGGTATCAGTCCGTTTGGATGAGGAGTTTCTCCATCTGCTTTCCTGCATGCCTTGACTCTCAGTCAGGTGGCAGGTAAGGAGAGGCTGGAGGAAGCCTGGGAGAGCTCACCGAGAACTGGCAAGCTGTAGATAAGAACCTTGTGCTGAAATCCTGCCTCTCCTGAAGGTAATGTCAGGGCTCTCGGGAGCTTCATTGGTGCCAGAATTTATCTTCTCGTATTTTTGGTGCTTATGTGAGAGATTTCGAGCACAGACTGGCATTGCTTTTGTAACATTTTTTTTCCTGTTTAGAAAGCCAGTGACTCACGTTACGAGTCTCAGTGCTACGTGGTGTCGGCAAAATCCTCTGTGCTGCTGCGGTTTAAGAATCCTATGCAAATCCCATAATACAGCCATCACAAATATGTAAATCCTGAGCTGCTGTGAATGCAAATCCCATGGTACTACTACCAGCGGATATGCAAAACCTGCTACAGCTCTGGCTACATAAACCCCCGTGGCAGTGCTGTTTACAGAGAGATTGATTTCGACAAGTCTTGATAGGCACTTCCTTTGCATCAGCTCTGATAGCTACAAAATGTAAACATGGGCTTAACAGCCAAGGCCAAGATAACACGTCACTGGTAGCCAACGCTTTGCATTCTACAGGGAAATCTGTCCTCTCCAGAAATAAGCTCTGATTCACAATGAAAGCTAAGAATATTCTAGAAAAAAAAAACCAAAACCAACCAACAAAACCAAACCAAACCAACAAACAAACCAAACCAAACCCCCCACACCAGGAAATTTTCTGTATTTTAATTCAATTTCTTTTGCAAAATAAAAATGAGGTATGGTTCTGAACTGCCTGCATCCAGACGTCCTTCTGTGAAGCAATATGAATGGTGAAAGAGTTCCCAAAATAAAGGTGCGGCAAGGCTGGCATCCTAAACATGTCCCCAGAACAGTCTGTGCTTCAGTGAAAGCTCACTCAAAAAGATGTTTCCCTGGATCATTTGCTTCACAGAATCACAGAATCCCAGAATATGAG